AATGGAGAAAAATGATTAATATAGTCGGACCCACATAGTAGGATAAAGACTTGATATTATTATTGTTTTTGTTACATAAAAAATATTGCATCTCCTATTCAATATATTTCTCAAGTCCTGTGTGACATTGTTCGTAATCAAGGCACTAAAATTATCTATGATAGATTGTGAGGGGAGTGAGTACAAGATTGATTTGACAATATATAAATTTATGCAAGAATAATGGCATATCAAAGTGATTATTAATTTTCCGTTGAGATAACAGTGAATAACTTATGGAAGCAAATCATTTAAAAAATATCATCAATCTTTTGCCTGTTTATACTTTCATTTCACACTTCAAAGATTCCTTAAACATTTTACCCAACATTGAAATGCTGCTACCATAAAAGAATACACATTTATCTCTTTAAATAGATTCAGAGGCCTTCCTAATCTTCTAACAGCTCAAACGTATAGATAGATATAGGCTGCCACTATAGAATGGGGTGATTTAAATGAACTAATGCTTCTGCATCAAGAGAATCAGTATAATACCTTGCCAAGGATTCCATCCAGAACTAGCTGTGGGAACCTGCGCTGAAGAATATACTGCAGCAGTTCCATTAACATTCTTTACACAAATTGGAAGGACTCCATGCTTTCTATTTCAAGAGAACTTTTGGCTAGAAGAGAACTGCAAGAGCTGCAAAGAAAGGGTATTTCATCACATTAAAGCAAGTTGAAAGAGGAGAAGAAAGTAACAAAATGGTGGTAGATGGAGAAGATGCAAACCTCATACAGGAAGTCTGTGTTTGAATTTCGTCTTTAACAAATTTAATCTTCTTTGGAGAGGTAGTTTCTCATCCTTCAGCCCCATTTTATCCAAATAGAACACCACCTTTTTCAATGTTGTTAGTGATTCCTCACTCTCATGACCTAGCTCTCTCTCTTGAATACTCAAAACTCTTCTCAACTTGGCTAAAACATCATTGTCGTCCCTCTCTAATCTAGTTTGAATGGAGACTAAGCAATCGAGGGCTTCACCTGCCAATTATAAAGGAATACAATGATCATCACCTTGTTTTAGGAAGGAATAAGTGTCACAAACAAAACTCATAAACATTGTCCATTTTAATGGATAGATCTCATGATTTTGTCCCCTAAATCAAAAAATTATCAAGCGAAGAAGTGCTCTAGCCTGAGTACACTTCAACTTTCGAAACAACAATCTTTAAAGATGGCTCAATGTTTATGACTACTTTTTCCCCTTGTATGAATCTTTATAAAAAAATTTCGGTAAGAAAAAAAGGAAGCAAAGCCCTTCTATGAATCTTTCCAATGCTAAATCTATGGAAAAAAAGGAAACAAACCCCTTTTATGAATCTTTCCAATGTTAAATCTATGGAAAAAAGGAAACAAACCCCTTTAATGATCTTTCCAATGCTAGATCTATGAAGTCCTGCATAAACGCAAACCAGCTAGTAAGAAGTTGTTTGAACTGTTAAAACTCAGCAGTGACTGATCTTATAGTCAAAGTGCAATCACATTTATAAACTATGACTTAGTAAATAAAACAAAAAAATGATCAAAATAATCTCCGGATTCTTTATGAAAGATCAAAATGATTTCCAGCTATATTAAAAAATCATTTCAATCCCTTAAATCCTTAAAGAGTCAAGAGATCATTTTGATCATTTTCTCTAAATAAAACATTATGATGCCAAATTAAGAAAATCAAAGAGCAAGACCCAAGTGAAACTAAACTCATAACACAGGCATCTGAAAAAGGTTCAGTTAAAAACCACGAGATTTTTACGAAACAAATGCAGATTAGATGATAAATGGCATTTGTACTTACCAACAGGAAGAGATTCTTTCCCGAATAATTTCTCACGAATTTGAACTACTTCAAGAGCAAGGTCCTCAGCTTCTTCATCTTCTTTTAGGTGGTACAAGGTGACAGCAAGGTGTAACATTGGGATAGTGATGGATTGATCACCTGGGTCTACTGTCTTAGACATAATATGCAAGCATGTTCTCAACAAACGTTCAGCCTCAGTATAGTTTTTTGATCGGGAATAAGAGATGGCTAGATTCAGAAGATGACCCACTGAATTAGGATGTTCAATCCCCTTGTACTTTTCATTGATCAAAAGGCTTTCCTGAAGTACTTCTCTACCTTCCTGTTCCCTAAGTAAGAAAAGGTAATAAATAAGACCATGAGATTAAATAACCAAATTAAAATTAAATAAAAAACCAAATTAAAATTAAATAAAAAACCAAATTAAAATTAATGCAGATTGAGGAAGTAGGACTCTTCATCAATCGAGATTGGGATATGATAGAAAACCCTTGTAGATCTAAAGAAAAATTTATAGAAATCTAAATTTCAATGAGGCTTCACCACAAATCTCCAATCAAAATCAAGAAAAAAAAAGAAAAAAAACAGCAATTATATTGTAGGAATTGATGAAAACAGAAAGCAAATGTTAAGATACAATTGATCCTCTATTCAAGAGGAGGATATTTCTCTCCCAACTCTCTAAACACTACTAAAACCAAAGGACATCAAGGAAACACAAAATTTCAGAAATACTCACAATTACTCTAACCCTAGGCAAACATACTTCTTCATGCATACCAACCAGAAGGAAATATCTAAACAGCCCCTACATTCAAATTTACCTCCTAAATCCTTTCAAAACTTTCCTAACTGGTGTTATTGGATCCGCCTGATCGTGCAGTACAAGCGGGAGGTGGAACTTTGTTTCGCCTCGTGTAGACCTGGGATAGTCCAGTGTGAACCGGCTGGGCCAGTCTAAAAATACCTCCCTCCCAAGACCCATCTTGTCCTCAAGGTAGAAGCATGGAGACTGATACTTCATCCTCTCGTATAGTTCCCACATGGCGTCATTATAGGGCAGGTGCTTCCAATTGATTAACACTTCCTTGATCCCACCCTCTCCCTGTCGCACCCCTTTTAACTCTAGTGGTTCTAACACCACCTCTAGATCTTCCGTTAGTGTCGCTGGTAACACTAAATTAGCTGCATGCTCCTCAATAGCTCTACTTAACTGGGAGATGTGGAACACCGAGTGTATGGTAGCTGTCAGGGGTAACCTCCATCGGTAAGCCACATAGCTCTGATCCTCTCCCATATCTCATAGGGGCCAAAATATCTAGGTGCTAGTTTTCATTCCTCCTATTCGCTACTATCCTTTTTTTGTAAGGGCGGAACTTCAAGAATACTCTATCTCCAACTGTGATCTGGATATCTTTCATATGCCCATTCGTCTATTTCTTCATAATTTGACGAGCCCTCAACAGGTGCCTCTTCAATTCCTCTAATACTTTATCTCTTTTCTACAAGTACTTCTACTTTATCTCTTTCCTCTAAGTACCGCTTTACTAAAGAGACTTGTGTACTCCCCTGCCCAAAATACACCAAGTGTGGGGGGTCTCTTTCATACAACACTTTGAAAAGGGTCATCTGAAAAGCGGAATGATACCAAGTGTTATACCAGTACTCCGCCCATACTAACCACTTGGCCCAAAGTCGAGGTGTCTCCAACACAAAACATTATAGCTATGTCTCCAGGCTCCTGTTGACCACCTCCGTCTACCCATCCATCTAGGGGTGGTAAGTTGTACTCATCTTCAGTACTGTCCCCTGCAACATGAATAACTCCCTCCAGAAATGGTTGAAGAACACCTTATCCTTGTTGAACACTATAGACTCTGGTATCCCATATAGTAGGACCATCTCTCTGATGAAATTTGTTGCCATTATCACTATCGTGTAGGGATGTCATAAAGGGATGAAGTGAGCGTACTTGCTCAGTATGTCTACTACCACCAGAATCACTATAAACCCTTATGATCGGAGCAGCTCATCTATAAAATCCATGGACGCCTCTTCCCACACCAGATCAGATAGAGCCAAAGGTTGAAGTAATCCCCCTGGAGCCATAGTCATATACTTATTCCTCTAACATAGTGATAGGAAATACTTGAGTTCGCAAGTAACCCTAAGGTAATACTTGAGTTCGCACTCTAAAAGGGGTCATCCTGGAAGCTGAGTGGTACGAGGTATTGTACCAGTACTCTGCCCAGGCCAACCATTTGGCCCGTACCCTTGGTGTTTCAGAAGCAAAACACCTTAAATAAGTTTCCAAGCTCCGATTTACAACCTCTGTTTGCCCGTCTGTTTGCGGATGGTAGGCTGTGCTCCTTTTGAGAATAGTCCCCTGTAACCTGAACAGCTCCTTCCAAAACTGACTGAGGAACACCTTGTCGCGATTAGACACTATCGACTCTGGAATCCCATGTAATCTAACCACTTCCCTGATGAAAGAAGCCGCCACTGTCACTGCAGTGTAAGGGTGTTGAAGGGGTGTGAAAGGTGCATACTTGCTCAGTCTATCAACCACCACCATAATAACAGTGAATCCCTCCGATCGTGGTAGTCCATCCACGAAATCCATGGACACTTCCTCTCATACTCTATTTGGAAGCGAAAATGGATGTAGTAACCCCCCTGGAGCCATCGCCATATACTTGTTTCTCTGACACACTTCGCACCACGCCACTGTCTCTTGCACTTGCTTATGCATTCATTTCCAGTATAATTCAGTGGCCAACCTCCGATATGTCTTTTCTACTCCGGAATGACCTCCAATGGCGCTCCCATGAAACTCCTGTAATAGTTATACTAAAAAATTGCTTTAAAAAGCAGTAAAAAAACTGTCCCAAACAAAGCCTTAGTGTTGCAAATTTAAGATTTCGTTTGGGACAACTTTGTTATTGCTTTGTAAAGTTACTTTTTAGTACAAAAAATCTTTAAAGCACAAAGCCTAACTTAAGGCTTCGTTTGGGACGGCTTTTTTACTGCTTTCTAAAACAGAGTTTTAGTACAAAATTTTTTATTTTTGTATAAAACTCCATCTTATAAAGCAATAAAAAAGCCGTCCCAAACGAAGCCTTTTTCATCGATCATATGCTTTAAGCATCCGCTATTCTTGTGTCACATGCTTCCATTGTTTTATTGAGAATGCACACACACACAGATATATATATAGACTATATTCCTAACTTTCAGCATCCAAATATCTTTCATACTATTTGATGTTCTATATGTGCATATACAAGATAAAAAGCCATCAACACCAACATATCCGAAATCCCTTACAATAACTTTTATGTGATGATTTATCCTACCATCTTCAATAGTTTCTATACCTTCCAGCTCCACTTTGCTGCCTCCTTCGGGTCATTTCATCTCCACCATCAATGGAAGAAGACTAATCCAACTGCCTCCATTACCTTCATTTGTTACCTCATTAGCTGCACCGAGTTCTGCTACCATTGTCTCAAGAAGGGTACTAACAAAATCAACTCCATCTACCTAATCGACATCATAAAGTTGCAAATAATAAGTATCCTAACAGTCTCATTTTACCTTGCATTGTATCAATGTCAGATTCATGTTTGAGGAAAGACAGCCCTATGCAACTCATAATTGTCTTAATTGGACAAGACCTCAAAATTTTTTCCCATTTTTGAAATTTTTACATAAAAGATCTTAGAACTGACTTTCTTTATTAGATTTCAACAAAAATTTGACTCTTAATGTGAGAAATTATTCCGTGCGGACACCGGATAGTCTAGAGACCAACCAGAACGTACAACATCATCCGGTACACAGCGGTACCGAGCCTGGTACCGAGAAAAAAAATGACGTGACCCGCTCTGGTTGGTCTCGAGATGCCACCTTAACATGACACAATGGAGAAAAATGATTCACGTAGCCGGCTCCACATAGTCGGATAAAGACTTGATATTGTTATTGTTGTTGTTACATAAAAAATCTTGCATTTCCAATTCAATATATTTCTCAAGGCTGTGTGACATTGTTCGTAATCAAGGCACTAAAATTATCTATGATAGATAGTGAGCGGAGTGAGCACAAGATTGATTTGACAATATATAAATTTATGCAAGAATAATGGCACATCAAAGTGATTATTCATTTTTCGTTGAGATAACATAGAATAACTTATGGAAGAAAATCATTTCAAAAATCTCATCAATCTTTTGCCAGTTCATACTTCCATTTCACACTTCAAGGATTCATTAAACATTTTACCTAACATTAAACATGTTGCTACCATAAAATAATACACATTTATCGCTTTAAATACATTCAGAGGCCTTCCTAATCTTCCAACAGCTCAAACGTATAGATAGATATAGGCTGCCACTCAAGAATGGGGTGATTTAAATGAACTAATGCTTCTGCATCAAGAGAATCAGTATAATACCTTGCCAAGGATTCCATCCAGAACTAGCTGTGGGAACCTGCGCTGAAGAATATACTGCAGCAGTTCCATTAACATTCTTTACACAAATTGGAAGGACTCCATGCTTTCTATTTCAAGAGAACTTTTGGCTAGAAGAGAACTGCAAGAGCTGCAAAGAAAGGGTATTTGATCACATTAAAGCAAGTTGAGAGAGGAGAAGAAAGTAAAAAAATGGTGGTAGATGGAGAAGATGCAAACCTCATACAGGAATTATGTGTTTTAATTTCGTCTTTAACAAATGTAATCTTCTTTGGAGAGGCAGTTTCTCATCCTTCAGCCCCATTTTATCCAAATAGAACACCACCTTTTTCAATGTTGTTAAGGATTCCTCACTCTCATGACCTAGCTCTCTCTCTTGAATGCTCAAAACTCTTCTCAACTTGATTAAAATATCTTTGTCGTCCCTCTCTAATCTAGTTTGAATGGAGACTAAGCAATCAAGGGCTTCGCCTACCAATTATAAAGGAATACAATGATCATTACTTTGTTTTAGGAAGGAATAATTGTCACAAAGAAAACTCAAACATCTTGATTGTCCATTTTAATCAATAGATCTCATGATTTTGTCCCTTAAATAAAAAATTATCAAGCGAAGAAGTGCTCTAGCTTGAGTTCACTTCAACTTTCGAAACAACAATCTTTAAGATGTCTCAATGTTTAGGACTACTTTTTCACTAGATTTACGGGGCTTTACAAAAAACTTTCCATGAGAAAAAAAAGGAAGCAAACCCCTTCTATGAATCTTTCCAATGCTAAATCTATGGAAAAAAAAGGAAACAAACCCCTTTTATGAATCTTTCCAATGCTAGATCTATGAATTCCTGCATAAACACAAACCAGCTAGTAAGAAATTGTTTGAACTGTTAAAACTCAGCAGTGACTGATCTTATAGTCAAAAAGCAATCACAAACTATGACTTAGTAAATAAAACAAGTAAATGATCAAAATAGTCCCCTGATTCTTTATGAATGATCAAAATGATCTCCAACTATATTAAAAATTATTTTAGTCCCTCAAATTCTTAAAGAGTCAAAGAGATTATTTTGATTATTTTCTCTAAATAAAACATCATGATGCCAAATTTAGAAAATCAATAGCACTCCAGAATCATAAGACCCAAGTGACAATAACTCATAACACAGGCATCTGAAAATGATTCAGTTAAAAACCACGAGATTTTTAAGAAACAAATGCAGATTAGATGATAAAGCATTAGTACTTACCAACAGGAAGAGATTCTTTCCCGATTAATTTCTCACGAATTTGAACTACTTCAAGAGCAAGGTCCTCAGCTTCTTCATCTTCTTTTAGGTGGTACAAGGTAACAGCAAGGTGTAACATTGGAATAGTGATGGATTGATCACGTGGGTCTACTGTCTTAGACATAATATGCAAGCATGTTCTCAGCAAACGTTCAGCCTCAGTATAGTTTTTTGATCGGGAATAAGAGATGGCTAGATTCAGAAGATGACCCACTGAATTAGGATGCTCAATCCCCTTGTACTTTTCATTGATCAAAAGGCTTTCCTGAAGTACTTCTCTACCTTCCTGTTCCCTAAGTAAGAAAAGGTGATAAATAAGACCATGAGATTACATAACCAAATTAAAATTAATGCAGATTGAGGTCCATAAATATTTAAAAGTAAGAATCTCCATCAATCGAGATTGGGATATGATAGGAAACCCTTGTAGATCTCAAGCAAAATTTACAGAAATCTGAATTTCAGGGAGGCTTCACCACAAATCTCCAATCAAACTAAGGGAAAAAAAAAACATCAATTATATTGTAAGAATTGATGAAAACAGAAAGCAAATGTCAAGATACAATTGATCCTCTATTCGAGAGGATATTTCTCTCCCAACTCTCTAGACATTACTAGAGCCCAAGGAAAGCAAGGAAACACAGAATTTCAGCAATACTCACAATAACTCTAACCCTAGGCAAACACACTTCTTCATGCAAACCAACAAGAAGGAAATCTCTAAACACCCCCTACATTCAAATTTCCCTCATAAATCTTCTCAAAACATTCCTAATTGGCGTTGTTGGATCCCCCTGATCGCATAGCACAAGTAGGAGGTGGAACTTGTTTCGCCTTGTGTAGACTTGGGCCGATCCAATGTGGACCGGTTGGGCCAATCTAATAATATCTACCTTCCAAAGACCCACCTTGTCCTCAAGGTGGAAGGATGAAAATTGATACTTCAACCTCTCGTACGGTTCCACGTGGCTTCATAGTTGGGTAGGTGCTTCCATTTGATTAAAACTTCCTTGATCCCACCCTCTCCCTGTTGCACCCCTTTTAACTCCAGTTGTTTTAACACCACATCTAGATCCTCTGTCAATGTCACCAATAACACTGAACTAGCTGCATGCTCCCCAATAGCTCTCCTCAATTGGGAGATGTGAAACACCGAGTGTATGTTAGCCGTCAAGGGTAACCTCAATCGGTAAGCCAAATAGCTCTGATCCTCTGCAATATCTCATAGGGGCCAAAATATCTAGGTGCCAGTTTTCATTCCTCCTATTTGCTACTTTCCTCTGTCTATAAGGGCGGAACTTCAAGAATACTCTATCCCCAACTGTGAACTGGATGTCCTTCATATGCACATTCGTCTATTTCTTCATAATTTGCAGAGCCCTCAACAGGTACCTCTTCAATTCCTCTAATACATTATCTCTTTTCTACAAGTACTACTACGTTATCTCTTTCCTTCAAGTACTGCTCTACTAAAGAGACTGGTGTGCTCCCCTGCCCAAATGCATCAAGTGTGGGGGGTCTCTTCCATACAACATTTTGAAAGGAGTCATCTGAGAAGCGGAATGATACAAAGTATTGTACCTATACTCTACCCATGCTAGCCACTTAGCCCAAAGCCGAGGTGTCTCCGACACAAAACATCATAGCTATGTCTCCAAGCTACTGTAGATCACCTCCATCTACCCATCCATCTAGGAGTGGTAAGCTATACTCCTCTTCAATATTGTCCCCTGCAACATGAATAACTCCCTCTAGAAATGGTTGAGGAACACCTTGTCCCTGTCGAACACTATAGACTCCGGTATCCCATGCAGTATGACCACCTCTTTGATGAAAGTTGCCGCCACTGTCACTGTCGTGTAGGGATGTCATAGAGGGATGAAGTGAGCATACTTGCTCAGTCTTTCTACTACCACCAGAATCACTATAAACCCCTCAGATCGGGGCAGCCCGTCAATAAAATTCATGGAGACCTCCCACATCAGATCAGGTAGAGCCAAAGGTTGAAGTAATCCTCTTGGAGCCATAGATATATACTTATTCCTCTAACATAGCTCACATACTTATTTCTCTAATATAGCTCACAACTAGCTACCAATACAATTATGTTGCCAGTCTCTTGTAGGTTTTTTGTACCCCCAAGTGAAGGATGAGGAGCTGGGGAGGAATAACCATCCTAGTTATTCTCTAGAAGGGGTATTGATACTGCCATCTCTAGAGCTCCTTCATACATCTGGACAAGGCATCCGCTGCCTTGTTATTTATCCCGGGCATATTTTGAATTTCAAAGTCCTATCCCAATAACTTTGACAACCACCTTTGGTGCTCCTGTGTCACCATCCTATGCTCCAATAAGTACTTCAAACTTCGCTGGCATGTCCTGATAATGAAATGCCAACCAAATAAGTAAGGTCGCGACTTTTGGATGGCTAGCACAATGGCCATCAACTTCCTCTCGTAAATTGATGTCAACCTAGCTCTAGCTTTTAACACCTGGCTGACGTAAGCAATGGGTCGTTGCCTTCGCATGAGTACTACTCCCAATCCAATCCCTAATGCGTCCGTCAACACTACAAAAACCTGACTGAAATCTGGTAGAGTCAGGATCGGTATGGTGGTCATGGCCTTTTTCAACCTCTCAAAAGCTACTGTGGCCGCCTCCACCAACAAGAAGTTATCCTTCTTCAATTGTTCTGTCAGTGGCCAGACAATAGTGCTATAGCCCCTCATGAACCTCCTGTAATATCTTGTCAGCCCTAGAAATCCCCTCAATTCCCTCAGATTCTTTAGTAATGGCCATCTCAGCATTGCCTTGATCTTAGCCAGATCTGCAACCCCTCCTGAGATACTCTATGTCCCAAGTACTCCATACTAGTCTTTGCAAAGCAACATTTCTTCAAATTTTCCCTCAACTGCTGCTCCTATAACACCTCTAATACCGTCCTCAAGTGCTCCCAATATTCCTCAGCTGACCTGCTATACACTAGGATATCATAAAAAAACTAACAAAAATTTTCTAAGATAGGGTTAGAACACCCTGTTCATTAGGGATTGTAATATAGTTCGAGCATTAATGGGGCCAAATAGCATCACCAAGAACTCATAATGTCCATGTGTTCTGAAAGCAGTCTTCAGCACGTCCTCCCTTTTCATGCAGATCTGATGGTACCTAGACTTCAAATCTATCTTGGTGAAGATAACTGCCCCACTCAGCTCATCAAATAACTCATCTATCACTGGGATAGGAAACTTGTCTAATACATTTCCTTATTCAAAGCACTGTAGTCCATGCAAAACCTCCAACTCTCATCCTTTTATTAACCAGTAAGTCTGGACTAGAAAAAGGGCTCACACTAGGCCTGATAATTCCTGTCTCTAACATTTCTCTAATAAATTTCTCAATTTCATCCTTCTAAAATTGAGGGTAAACACCCCCTCCCTCAAGGTGATGGCATAATCCTGCTCCTGTGGTAGTGGCAATCCTTGAGATGATTGAAAGACCACATTGAATTGCTATATCAGCGGCTGTACTGAAAGAGGAATGTATCCACACTCCTCTAATCTAATCCCCTCTAATTTCTATAGCTCCACTAAGAAACCTCCCACCAACTTATGTATGCTCCTCACCATAATTTTGAGGGACACAAAATGGCTTTGGATAACCATGCATATCCCCTGATCACTACTCTTCTCCCCACCACGACCAGCTCCATGGTCAGTGCCCCCTAGTTAACCTTGGCATTCCCCAAGGTCTGAAGCCACTTTATCCCCAAGATGATGTCAGTGCTACCTAACTCCAATGGGAGAAAATCCTCTCTCTAAATCCTCTGTATGTAGGGGTCTCAAAACGGGTCAACGGATCGGGTTTGAGTCCAACCTAGCCTGACCCAGGTCCAAACAGCTCAACCCGAACCCAACCCGATTTTGAAACGGGCTAGGTTTCTCAACCCAAACTCGACACGCACGGGTTGTCAGGTTGACACCACCTGACCCGACCTACGAACCATTTAATTATCCGCGCGTAAGAGGGAGACCAGGAGAGGGTCGAGCAGCTTGGAGAGATCTTAGAAAGCATGCAGCTTGGAGATCGAAGTGAGTTCCTACCGCCTGCGTGTGTGCGCCTAGCCCGAGAGAGATTGGAGAGAGCTCCTTTCGTGAACCATTCAATTTATTTTTTTGCCTTCCTGCATGCGGCTTACAGGGAACGGAGAGAGCTCCTGCTGCCAGCACGCGAGCCCGAGAGAGATAAGAGTGGAGCCAAGGGATTCTGCTTTTGTGCGACCAGACGACAAATAGGAGTTCGACTTAGTCTTCCTCTCATTTTTGCATGTGAAGGAGCAACAGAGTTCGGCTTGATTGCGAGCAAATCTACTTGTGTGTGACCAGAAGATGAACATGAGCTCGTCACTTCAGCTTGGTCTTCTTCTCAGAGTCAGGCGTCCATCAGAGTTCATTCATGCGCTTATGCCTCCCCGCTTGTCTCCGTCTGTATTGGACTGCACATTCGCACTCACCACGAAGGCAAAGCCGCAATGACGATGAAGCCTTTTCAGAGTTCGAGTCAAATCGGGTCAAAGTCGAGTTAGCGAGATAACCTGAACCCGACACGATTTTCAAATGGGTCAAAAATTACAACCCGAACCTCGACCCATTTGATAAATGGGTTAACTCAAACTCATAGTTTTCGGGTTGGGTTTGGGTCGTAAGCCCATATCTTTTTGCTTTAGTCATGGATGTTCTCACTAGACATTTGCAAGAGGATGTACCTTGGTGTATGCTTTTTGCTGATGATATTCTTCTTGTTGATAAGATTAGAGAGGGAGTTGAAAGTAAACTTGAATTATGGAGGTCAACATTAGAGACTAAAGGTTTTCGCTTGAGTAAATCTAAAACGGAATATATGGAGTGTAATTTTAGTAGTAATAGACCTAGTGAGGGGATTGTGACTTTGGGCGATCAAGTCATTAACAAGAGTACACATTTTAGATATCTTGGATCTATTGTTCAGAGTGATGGTGAAATTGATGGAGATATTATCAGCAGAATTCAAGTTGGATGGTTGAAGTGGTGGAATGCATCGGGCTTGTTGTGTGATAGAAAAGTACCCCTCAAACTTAAGGGAAAATTCTATAAGATGGTAGTGAGGCCTGCAATGCTTTATGGTGCTGAATGTTGGCCATTAAAAGAGAAGCATCATATATACTAAGTTATGTGTGGCAGAGATGAGGATGCTCAAGTGGATGAGTGGCTTTACCCTTAGAGATAGGATACAAAATGAGCATATACGTGAAAAGGTTGGAGTAGCTCCAGTAGAAGATAAGATTAGAGAGAGTCGCCTTAGATGGTTTGGTCACATAAAACGGCGGCTTTCCAATGACCCGGTTAGGAGAGTAGAGGCATTAGATTTGACTTATGTTAGGAAAGGTAGAGGCAGACCTAAAAAGACTTGGTTAGAAAATATTAGGAATGACCTTTCTTTATTAGATTTAAACAAGAATTTGACCTTTAATAGGACACAATGGAGAAAAAGGATTCATGTAGCCGACCCCACGCAGTGGGAAAAAGGCTTGATGTTGTTGCTATTGTTGTTGTATTTTTCCCTTCCGACCCTCTCTCCTCTAATGCCGACATTTGATTATGGAGATCCAACATCTTCTTCACCATGTCACGTAGGTATAAAGTGTGCATTCTGCATATATAGGATTCACGCACAAAGTAAATAGTGGACAGTTTACTCATATAGTAGTATAAAGTGCGTAATCTGCATATACAAGATCCTGAATGATTGATTGCATGTTCTGGGATCTAGAAAATTAAAGAGGGACATACAAGTATTTGTAAAAATAAATGAAGCCAACAAAAATCATACATTTAAAATTCATCATCGAAATCAACTCTCCCCAAACAATGCATAAGCAGGAGCTCCATTCAATTGGTGTGCCATAAGATATTTGTTGAACTACTTTAAAATATGATTATTTATATTAATTCCTTAAAGAAGAAAAAGTTTAGCAGAAGAATGCTTTAAATCTTATTTATAACGATAAGCTAGAATAAACAATCAACAAAAGTACCTTCCTGTAGCATGAAGCAACTCTGCTAAATCAACTCTCATCTTTTCTAGAAGATCATCATCTAAATTCAAATATTTTGATTCATTAATGATCTGAAGCCCAGATCTATAAAGATTTATAGCCTCTTTTACTTCTCCTGTCAAATAAGTAGTAGTTAGAGGAAGCCCAAAATTATGAAAATTGCACATCAAAATACCCACAATCTTATGTGGCAACTCATGTTACCTTTTGCACACTTTGCATGGGCCAATGAAGACATGGCTATTCCCACCTTTCCATCGGTTTCTCCATATTGCTTCTGATATATGCATAAAATTCTAGAATGCAAGAAAGAAAGTATTAGATAGGTAGTCAATAAAATAGAAACGTGAAGAATAAAAAGCAGAAATCAAGGACATTTTTGCAAGCATTACCTTCTTATTGAGAAGACGTATTATTGGCATTACAAAAAGAAGTTATGATACAAATAAATATCTCATAATAAGATATGACATTACACAAAAGATGGCATGTGCGAAATCCTACTCTTATTGACTACTCAAAAAGCATGTCATACCTAGAAGATATTTTGCAAGGCGCACAGGGTCTTGCAAGTTTGCAATCACTTAACTCCAAGGGATCAATAGATTTAAAGGACCTGACTAATTGCTGAGGGATCACCAACTACATGCAAGAGTTAAAGCTCAAGGAGCTAATGGCATCAATGATAAATTTAGGTTAAGTTTGCTAGCACAAGTTAAAGCACTTCAAGTGGTTATCGCATAAATGATAAATCAAGCAAAACTTGAGACCTTTAATGGGATTTTATTATATCTTCAATGTGGAAGTAAGCATTGAAATATACAACAACAACAACATCAAGTCTTTGTCCCACTATGTGGGGTCGGTATAAAAAGAAAATGAAATAAATTTTATGTTCTATAAAAAAAAGTACTCACTTATTTAGTGGGAGGCCCACACAATGGGCTATTATCTTAGTAATATTGATTTATTATATAGGATTTTAAATAATGGAAGGAGATTACATCAGAATACCATACTCATAATTAGAGGTATTATTTCTGATTATTTACTTTCTTATTGTGTCCTCCTATATGCATGTTTATAGGTTCTCTTGCAAATTAATAACACAAAAAAATATTCTTTCCCCTTAACATGACAACAATGGGTTTAAAAATCGGATCTAAGTGGCTGGTTTGATCTGTCTAACCAAGCACCAATTTCCCTATTTCTAAAAACCATTCTAAGCAAGAACTAGAAAGAATTATAAAGAACTTATCGTTAGACCATTCATGATTTGGTTGTACCTGGTTCAATTCATAATCAAATTTTGTTTGATATTATTATTTATTTATGATCTTAATTATGTGAATATTATTTCAAGTTAATTTTACTTGTAGATAATTTTAGTTGATACTTCCTCTTATCCTAAATCAATTCGTAGAGTATCAATACTCTGATGGATGGAAATAGAAGAGGCTATATAAATTTTAATATAGGTGTTTGAATCTATAATATGTAACTTATTTCATGTTCATGTTTTATATAAATGATTTCTCTTTATTTTGTTATATGTTCTCATCATTATTGCATCATTTAGAAAATAATTAAATAATTTTAAGATTTATTATGTTATTATGGTTGAACTCATTCAAATTCTAGTTGGGCCTTGAACATTTTGTTCTTTTAGTTTACTATCTAGCCCAATTTTCAAAATATTGATGGTAAAAAAGCAGGGCTATTAACCCTAGATGCATAACCTTCCCACCTCCCTCATTCACAACAGCATTGGCTTGCACTTTATCATCTCATTTACACTACTTATTCTCTACCCAAGTCATGCCTATGTCGATTCACCCTTCTGAACCCTAATCACAAGCACGTTTCTATCCCGCTTATGCATGCCACATTACTTGTAAGTTGTGCCTCTTGTTGTTGCACACTGCATGTTATGATAGCTATTTGCAGTTGCATCATGTTGTTGCACACCACATTACATCCGACGAACATCACTGCATATATCATGCAATCCCTTTCACATTGGCTTTGCTCATTTCCCCTCCCACTTTCACCCTTCTCCTTAATGATTTGCATCCCTAATCTAACTTCTTCTATTGCTTTCTGCATATATTCCATGGTATCAATGCCTCTCTAGTTCCCTTATATGATATGAATTCCTCCATTAGGGGTATCTTTATCAAGTTCAATGATACCAATTATCATTTATGGTCGAAACCTTTCATATTTTTGTTGGTTCCAATGAAAGGTACTTTAATCTTGATAAATCTCCTTTGAATCATAATACTACTGCCAAGTTCCGGCACATATTATATAATTCTTACTAGGATGTTGAATAGCCTCAAATCTAATACTTTATCTATAATCACATTTCATTAGACTGCTAAGGCTATGTGAGATTTTTCACGCTCTGCTTATTTGTAAGGAAGTAGCATCTCAAGGATAAATTTCGTATACTTTAATTTGGTTCTTTAAAATAGAAGGATCCTTCCATCCAATATTAGTATAGTATCATATGAGGTACTCCATTATAGCTGCTTGAAAGGTCTGACATCGACATAACGAAGTGTTTTTTATTGATAAATTTCTCTTCAGCCTTCATTCATCCTTCAACATATGCACTCTCATTTAATGGTGGATTCCTCCATTCCCAGCCTTACAATTGTTCTTATTTTGAGTCTTCAAGTCACTAAGTTACAATCTCCTGCAGCATCAATTTTTTTATTGAATTGACTTTGCAATAGGGCATTTTGGTAGTCAAGTGGGCCAAGTTAATTGTGGTTGTGAACATAAGGCCCCAACTCTCACTATAGCCATAAAAAATATCCCAAAGAGCAATCTTGGTCCAAATTTGGCTATCCTCCTATTACACAACATACAATTTGAATATCTCCTATTAATGGTTCTTCTACCACTTCATCTTCTTTTGATTTCATAATGCTGTCTTAAGAGAAACATGATTGCTCATTTTGTAACTCTCAAGCCTTTGCTTCTCATGTTGTTTCCTCCTCTATTTTTATTGTAACTAACTTCGCAAATATGTCCTGAAATTTTAGATTCAAGTGTCTCTTCCAATATAACAGATAATTGCACACATTTCTCCTTTCTCCATATGTCATCTCTTTCTCCCACGGTAATCTTGATTGGCATTGTCTGTTGGATCATCCTCCCCCAATAGACTTTAGGATTTGCACTAGGTTCTTTGTTTGTTGTCAAAATATGGTTGTCAAGCATGTGAGCTGGGTAACCATCATCATCTGCGTTTTTCATCCTCTCCAACTAGTCCTTGTCCTGGTCCATTTGAGCTAATTCACTCAAATATTAAGGTTCTTAAGCCAATTCCTTGCTCATCTAGGCTCTGCTATTGTTTCACTTTCATTTATGATTTTTTCTAGGTCACATTGGTTTACTTTCTCAGATGTTGTTCCTAGTTTCTTCATGTATCTCGAACTTTTTATCAAGAAATAAAATTTTCATTTTCCACCAACATCAAAACATTACTTTCCAATAATACTTCAGAATTCATCAAAACATTACTTTCCAATAATACTTCAGAATTCATGAAATCTCAGTTCCACACATTCTGTTCTACCAATGCTATTCTTCATTAGACTTCTCACAATTATATTTCTTGCTGCAATGGTGTCATTGAATGCAAAAATCACTAGATTTTGTAATATTTCCATAATATTAATGTTTCACAAGAATATTATGTTAGACCAGCTGAACCGGCCCCCCTTGGACCGGTCCAAGTCTACAGGAGACGGACACGGGGGGTCGGAAATCAAGGTGAGCAGCAACATTATTGGGGCTCACACATTGATGAAGGCTTGGAATATTCAAATTAGGGGTATTTAGGGATTAATGAATTATGCTTTTGCTTTAAATAATATTCTTCTTGCTAGGGTTAGGTTTTCATCTTGAATTTGGAGGTTTAATTTGAGATCTAGAGTTTTGCTTTTGGGCTCTAAACTTTGGCTAGAGATTTGGAGAGTTGAATCTTCATCTTGAATTGAAGATTCTTGTACCGTTTACTGGTTTTCTTGTTCTTTTGCTAAATTGAAGAAATTGTTTTGCTGTTTTCTGTACTAAATTCGTAATTTCTGCATCAAACAAACTGGATTTTCTCTGAAATTTAGCTATTTCCTGCACTTTGGTGGCTGTTTTCTATCAAATTGGTATCAAAGCACATTGATCTAAGGGATATCAATGTCCGGAAGGAAAGTTGAAGTCTTGGAGGGAGAACTTGGGCAACTCAAATCATATTTAAAAAAAAATTCTGATTTTCAAAATTAGATCGCATCCATTAATGAAAGGATGGAGGAAAAGTTCGCCGTGGTGGAAGATATGCTAAGAAATTGCTAGAAATTAAACCCAATCCGGCGACATCGAAAACAAAGGAAACTACCGGCAGCCATGGAAGAGGTGGGAATCCTAACACGTTTAGGGGAAGGAAAATCCAGAAGTGAAGATCTTGGAGGGTGAAGATGGAATGCCTCCTCTAGAATCACTTTCTAGGGAGGACATGCGCATTGACTATGAAAGAAGGGGTGCTGATTTTGTGAGGATAGGGGATGATTTCGATCACCGGGGTGCTTATTTTAAAAGAAACAGAGGAGATTTTGATGAAGTGTTTGGGTATGAGCGCCGGAGGGAAGATCGTGACAACTGGGGAGCACCTCCCCTTTGAAGAATGGGAGGCTATGGAGGATTCAGGGGAAACGGGGGTGACCCAAAGATGAGGAAGCTGAAGATGCCCATCTTCGAGGGTGAGGATGCCCATAGCTGGATCTACAAGATAGAACAATACTTTGCAGTCAGCGGGTTGACAAAGGAGGAGAAATTGACAGCTGCAGGATTGTGCTTAGAAGGGAAGACATTGTTATGGTACCAATGGCGAGACATGAGGCGACCCATTTAGAGCTGGAAAGAGTTCAAGAACTGTTTATTAGAACGTTTCCGAACCAGTAGGGGAGGAAACTTCTATGAGTAGTTTTTCGCCCAGATGTAGGAGGGGACCGTGACAGAGTACCAAAATAGGTTCGAGTACCTTGATAGTAGGCTAGATCAACTCTCAGAGATAGTACTAGAAGGAAATTTTATGAAGGGGCTTAAACCGAATATCTGAGCAACAGTTAGGGTGATGAGGCCACAAGACTTAGGGGAAGCTATGGAGCTAGCACAGTTGGTGGAGGACCAGAAGTATCTGGAGAGAGGGGCTAGGGGGAGCAACACGGGAGGGGGGTCATATAGGATAACCACCACTTTATTAGTTCTAAAGGGGCCTGGACCAGGGAGT